TTATTCTAAATAAGTGCAGGTGTACAATTAGAGTCCTAACACAATAAAAGAAAGGTCTGTGTGATCAAGCCGATGAGTAATAATCTGTAGGCGTATCGAGTCGCGGGATTGTGAACACACTTATATACGAATTGAATTCTGGTGTTGCATGTCATCTTGGATCTTTATTAGGGAGAAAGACGGCGGGATGGACCGGATGAAATGGGTGTATTTGCTGGCGATTTCGTTCCAGAGACTGAATGAAGGTTCAGAGCATAAAAAATGAAGATGGCGACCAGGAGAGGTAGTAGCCGGGTGAACACAGTGCTATATCAGTTTATCTACAATAAGAATAAAGGTCATTGAGCATAAATAAAAGTACAAATGAAGGAAGTTCGTTAATACTTCACTAGTACAATTAAATATAATCATCAGTGTTGCTGTTTACCCAATCGTGTTTTTCTTCGTAAAAGTGAAATCACTAAAATTGTCCATTCTGCTCCCTACCCCTTTCTCTTTATTTCTCTTTTCCAACACCTCATCCTACGAAGACTTAGATGCTTTGTCGAAAAGACGGTCAAATTATTGTTTGACGAATCTTAGCGACACGATCAACACAAAGTTACCTATTAAGTTCTTGTCTTATACACTCCTGGATTTATCTTGCATGAACTCTGGATCAGCAGTCATTCGTCGCAACACAGCTGACATAACTCCCACCCACTAGTGCATTAAAAATTTTACTTGAAGACAGATATTAGCCCTCTTTAAAAAGCCAGTGTACTTTGTGAAATATTTATCAAACTGAACAACCTCTTACAGTTAATGTGCTAGCTATTTTGACGACTTTGATCCTCCTTATAAACTGGCATACCTCAAATAACAAGTGGCTATTTAAGAAAAAATTATTATCGTTATTATTGCGTTTTCCTGCATTGCGAACGAAGCGTTTTTGAGTGACTCAAATTAAGAAACATCAAAACACAAAATCTTTGCTCAATCTGGATGTTCCTAAACTAATAAACAAAACAGATTGTACCGAAATTACAAAGTACCTCAAACAGTACAGCCTTTGCTGTACAGTCAAATGTTTCTCTAACTCAAAATAGTGTACATAATAGCGAAAAGAAAGGTTAATAAATAAGGGTTTGGTGATTGAGAATCATCAAGCCTTTGCAACAAGACAGCATCAAGTATCTACGTACAAGGATTATAACGACTGTTTCTAACATCCATTTGAAGATCAACGATCATTCAATGAACCGTGCCGTCAAACATGGCTTCACTGTCAAAGGGTCGGCAACAAACCACAACAAACAATAAAGGTAGATATCACTTAAAGATAAAACATTTATTTAAGTGTCGTGAGTAGTGGTTTCATACAAAACAAGGTCAATGAGCCAAGAATTCGTAACATTTTCCAGTAAAACACTGCGAAGGAAATTTCGGAGTATTCTTTATGTTACATTAGCCCCCAAAGTCCCTCAAATTATGTGGAGACACCTATGAACTCATCCATTCACGGCTCTTCTAATTAGCATTTTTATGCTGCAACAGTAGGCCTTCATATCCATCAGCCAAACATACTATTTTTAGTTACTCGGGTCTTTATAGATTGCTAAGCCTCTGCATATCTTTAATCACTAACCCTTTCAAGCAATCCATGACTGTTCTGATCAGATCATTTTCATCCACCTCAAACTTATCGAACAGTCCAAATGACATTGGGCGTTGAATAATAACGACACTGGTCAACAGAACTACATCTGCGTTCCTAAAGTTCTTATGTTCACGAAACTATATCCGTCGTACTTGAAGTAACGGGACATATCTCTTCACCCAGAGAAAGTACCAATCTAGAAAGTATTAGTCAAACAGTTCACTGGCCTCCATTGTTCCGAATACTATCGATACAAGCGCACTCCATTCTTTAAGTATTGCAGTCTCTTAGTAGCATCAGGGTATTGGGCATGAGATCTAATTAATTGCTCCCATGCGTTGTTACTGCAATGCTAGGGTGGTTTTTCGAAATTCTCTCCGTTTCCTCAAAGCTGGCAACCAAGCTGTCATGTTCGTTATAAGTTGCTAGTAGGATCTTTTTAACAGAATGTATCTCTCTCTCCCAAACTCTACCTAAAACGCTAGCTAGTGGGGAAATGAAATGCACAAATATCCACTTGGGTGTTTTCAAATCATTTGTCTTATTGTTTATCATATATATATATATATATATGTATATATATATATATGTATATATATATATATATATTAAATCAGAGGTTGCCAGGAAAATAGTTCTGTTGTCACTATGGGTTTCATTTGGAGTTCCTCTACTTCATATGTGTTAAAGCTATGATGAAAGGCTCAGCGTTCAGACTGAAATTTAGTTGTAAGTTCAAAGCATGCGTTTAAAGACAAGCAAATACATATCTATATCTTGTTTTCTCACTTCCTCTTCGACGAACTATAAGCAGCCCTGAATGGTCCATCCACACAGAGGAGAAACAGAATCAGACTCACCGTACTCGACATTCAGCAACAGGAGCCATCATCTGCCGAACCACTTTGGCTTTCATATTCCTGAATTTTACTAATTTACCGACTACTCGTCTAACCGCACCTGTTTCCTTAACAATTCAATAATCCATGAGTTGGTGTCCATCACTTCTGAAGCGGTGACGTAGCGTCCCAGTTGATTGCAGTGTCCAGTTATCATCTCTGTTACGAAATGATGTCGTGGTTGTACTACAGGGTATTTCAACGACAGGAAATAGCCTCAGTAGTTTAGTCATCCACTGATACACAGAAATCCTTCAGTTAGAATGAAAAATGGTTGTGAAATTGTTGCGCCCTAACAATTTCTCTGAAGCCCCGAATGTGGAATATCTGTTTCGTGTATTTCTCACATAGGATACTACTATCATAGAATCTGTTCAGAAGTAGACTATGTCGAACATATGTTTGAGAGTTCTATCAAGAACTTCCCTCGTTCGGGCACTCGGTACTGTTACTGCTCACTGATCTAGGTACAGTAACCGGTTCTATAGATGCAACTCTGGTCTTACTGTAGAGCAGAATAGTGACTGAGGGTTTGCGAATAAGTATGTAGTGAAACACTTCTGTGAAGAAAACGCGACTGGTGAAATATAAACATTTATTATTGTACTCGTTTTGTTTGTCTGTACAAAAAATTATTGCGCTCAACCTTCTTTTTCGCGTTGCTTCCATCTTTCATAAGTTGCTGTTGTATGCAACGCCTTCTTTCACCTACAAATAAATATTGAACCCTGGATTTATTTCTACAATTTGTGACGGGATAGTGATGAGTACTTAGTGGTGATCATAGTCAATCCCGACTCGGTCACCACTAAAGGTATAGGAATAGGAAACTGAACCGTAACATTTTTCGGAGACATCTCAATGTAAGTGCCACTCAGTCGTCCCAACGATAATCTTATCCTCATTCCTGATGCTTCTGATTACGCCAATTTGTCTGAGTTTTCACGTGAATTACACTCAGTCATCTCACAAGGACATAACAATAATAATCGGAGGTTGGTCTCAGCCAATGTGAGACTTGCAACGATTCTGTAAGAGTTGTCAGCACTTGAACTCAGTGGATGGAAAGGAGATGGAACCGTGAACGGTATCCCTCTCTTGGTCAGAGTCTTTTTGTCAGGATCAAACAGGAACTTGGACACGTCGTGTATAGTGTCCCCTTCAATCCCAATGACTCGGTGGAAGGACCCAAGATTCAAAGGCATACCAACTATTGCTTCCAAACTATTATTATTTAGAAAAATTCTCTTACTAGACCTTAGTTAGTTTCTCACTATTTAAACCTGAAATTCCCCTCGGACCGTCAGTTCGTTCAACCGCACCACAAATATTATCGCTTCTTCATTTCCTGGGAAGCACAATAAACAGTTGTGCACGTTAAAGTTATCCAATAACGGTTCTGATTTATTGTTATTACAGTCTTCTGCCAATTTCTGAGCCGTTAACACCGTCGCAAAATCAGCAAAAAAGGGTCAAAATATAGTACTGAAGAGGTGTCATGTCATCTGATGTTCACCAGGTTTGTCGTCGAGATTGCCTTCTGAGTACCAAAAGGGGCGCAGTTCTTCACAAATACGATACGGGGCTTTTACTTGCATGAACATTTCGTGTACATCCTCATTTGCAGCATCTGAAATTTTATGGAAACGTAACAGGGTACCGACCAAATCATCCGTCGTATCTAACCCTTGGCAGAGAAAGTCATTCGAAGACTTACCAGTCATATTAGCTACGCAATTCAGTACCATTTTCACGTTTTTTTTGGTTTCTTGGAAATCTGCACAGCATTACGGGGTAATATCTTTGGTGTGTGGTAATTTGCAACCCTGGAACTATAACAACATATTCTTTTTTAATCGTCTGTTGCATA